CGGTTGGCGGAAGCTTTTATCATAGGAATTAATCATTGATAGAAATCAGGCAGTTCACAGGGCGTGTAAATAGATCATGCATCAGTGATTGTGCATCACAGCATTCAGCAGCATATCCGAAACAGCAATTAAACTGCAATCAATGGCTGCTAATTCTGATTTCGAGCCTTAGCAGTTTTGGTCATGGGGTTAAGTTTTTATTTTTATTAGTTGTTCTCTACAGGATAAGATATTACACGCTTTTTTTTTCAAATTAGAACTTATATAAGATGAGCCTACATAAGAAGTTTCATTATTTACCATGCCCAAGTTTAAGGGTTAGGTATACGTTACCTATATGAACAAGCTTTGCTCTTGGTTGATGATAACAATGGAACACATGTCAATAAAACCCAATGAATTATTATAGATATTGATTTATAAAGAACAAGTCATGAAACTTTGTTCAGTATCGTTATATACAAGAAGCCGGTCAAAACACTCGTTCATGTTCGTAGATACTATTAAGTTTAAGTGAAAATGTGGAAAGCCTCCTCAGAGATTCGAACTCTGGACCCCTGGTTTACTAGACCAGTGCTCTAACCACTGAGCTAAGGAGGCACCAAAAAAAAGCTTGCGCGAATAGAAATGTAAACAAATGTTTCAAAAAACGTATTTTGCAGGTAAATTTTTTCACGGCGATTATTAAATGCGTAATGATCACAAATATTTAAGTCTTTTACTCACCCTTACCATACACAGTTAAAAAAATCAAGCCTTATCAGAGAGTTGAACTCCGGACCCCTGGTTTACGAGACCAGTGCTCTAACCACTGAGCTAATAAGGCAAACCCGTAATACTTTTGAAAAAGGTAAAATGAATCATCGGCGAAAAATAGTTATTCCTGCCAAGCTAAAACTAAAAGGAAAAATATTAGTGTTAAAGTTTGGTCGATCAATTCTGTAGCTTTCACAAACACCGTTACTGAGATTATCCTGTAGACGATGGCAATGGTAATCATACGGTGATATGATAGTTGAAAATGTTACAGTGTTATTTTTGAGTTACAAATTATTCTTGGGTTATGAAAAATGTGCCACGCACATAAAAAAGTCGCACGAATTCATTTTCCTGATGTTCAGTACTTGTATATGATGATTGACAAGGTCTTCATTGTTGACATGCCTACAACGTCTACATTTATGCATACTAGATCTCCTCCTTGCATGTATATTGATAGGATTGATGCTGCATGGGAAAAGTTTTATCGGGAGATTGCAACTTGAGTTCAACACTGCTTTTTTTCTTAAAAGCTAAGAAAGAAACTCAATCGCGCAAAAATTTCAAGTTATGAGGGCAATCAGGGCTTGCACGGGAATCGAACCCGTGACCTCTCGCACCCAAAGCGAGAATCATACCACTAGACCAGCAAGCCACACCTGGGGAATTAGTTCATTATCTTTCGGTGTAATTTTAAAAAAATCCGGTATATTACATGAAAAACTAAGGTTCAAGAGACTTCCGTTAATTCGTGCGGAAAACATCCCATTTTGCTGTTGAAAACAAGCCTATAAAAAAGCAATAATTTCTGAATAGAGGTCCCTTTGACAAGAGGTAATTACGTTTTAGTCCAATCACCATGTTTATTTACATTATTTTTTTGTAACCGAATGGGAATGCATAAATTTGCGTTAAAAGGGTATAATATTAACCATTTCACATCAAGTATTAGAAATTTTAACTGCTCTGACTGGTATTTTTAAAAAATAAAAAATATTATGTAGTATGTTTTCAAACGAAATTCCACCTGATGGCAAACAACTTCTCCGTGTTACATGATCATCTTTCGGACTATTAAGAGTCGTAGTCGGCAGGATTTGAACCTGCGCGGGAATATCCCAACAGATTTCAAGTCTGTCGCCTTAACCACTCGGCCACGACTACATAATTGCTTAGGAGTCCTTATTTTGCTTTACCACGGATAGCTTGGAACTTACCTGTTTATTTTACCACAGATTTTACGTCGTGGGCACATTAATAGGTTCTCTGGAATTGGTATGCCTTCCAAACTGCTTTTCAATTGCCAGCAGAATTTTGGAATTATAATAAGACTGAAAAAAAGAAAGGGTCTCGGGGAACTCGCTGTGACGGTTGGCGGAAGCTTTTATCATAGGAATTAATTATTGATAGAAATCAGGCAGTTCACAGGGCGTGTAAATAGATCATGCATCAGTGATTGTGCATCACAGCATTCAGCAGCATATCCGAGACAGCAATTAACTGCAATCAATGGCTGCTAATTCTGATTTCGAGCCTTAGCAGTTTTGGTCATGGGAAGTTTTTATTTTTATTAGTTGTTCTCTACAGTATAAGATATTACACGCTTTTTTTTTCAAATTAGAACTTATATAAGATGAGCCTACATAAGAAGTTTCATTATTTACCATGCCCAAGTTTAAGGGTTAGGTATACGTTACCTATATGAACAAGCTTTGCTCTTGGTTGATGATAACAATGGAACACATGTCAATAAAACCCAATGAATTATTATAGATATTGATTTATAAAGAACAAGTCATGAAACTTTGTTCAGTATCGTTATATACAAGAAGCCGGTCAAAACACTCGTTCATGTTCGTAGATACTTATTAAGTTTAAGTTGAAAATGTGGAAAGCCTCCTCAGAGATTCGAACTCTGGACCCCTGGTTTACTAGACCAGTGCTCTAACCACTGAGCTAAGGAGGCACCCAGAAAAAAACTTGCGCGAATAGAAATGTAAACAAATGTTTCAAAAAACGTATTTTGCAGGTAAATTTTTTCACGGCGATTATTAAATGCGTAATGAATCACAAATATTTAAGTCTTTTACTCACCCTTACCATACACAGTTAAAAAAATCAAGCCTTATCAGAGAGTTGAACTCCGGACCCCTGGTTTACGAGACCAGTGCTCTAACCACTGAGCTAATAAGGCAAACCCGTAAACTTTTGAAAAAGGTAAAATGAATCATCGGCGAAAAATAGTTATTCCTGCCAAGCTAAAACTAAAAGGAAAAATATTAGTGTTAAAGTTTGGTCGATCAATTCTGTAGCTTTCACAAACACCGTTATGAGATTATCTTGTAAACGATGGAAATGGTAATCATACGGTGATATGATAGTTGAAAATGTTACAGTGTTATTTTTGAGTACAAATTATTCTTGGTTGTGAAAAATGTGCCACGCACTAAAAAAGTCGCACGAATTCATTTTCCTGATGTTCAGTCTTGTATATGATGATTGACAAGGTCTTCATTGTTGACATGCCTACAACGTCTACATTTATGCATACTAGATCTCCTCCTTGCATGTATATTGATAGGATTGATGCTGCATGGGAAAAGTTTTATCGGGAGATTGCAACTTGAGTTCAACACTGCTTTTTTTCTTAAAAGCTAAGAAAGAAACTCAATCGCGAAAAATTTCAAGTATGAGGCGATCAGGGCTTGCACGGGAATCGAACCCGTGACCTCTCGCACCCAAAGCGAGAATCATACCACTAGACCAGCAAGCCACACCTGGGGAAAAAATTCATTATCTTTCGGTTCAATTTTAAAAAAATCCGGTATATTACATGAAAAACTAAGGTTCAAGAGACTTCCGTTAATTCGTGCGGAAAACATCCCATTTTGCTGTTGAAAACAATTCTATAAAAAAGCAATAATTTCTGAATAGAGGTCCCTTTGACAAGAGGTAATTACGTTTTAGTCCAATCACCATGTTTATTTACATTATTTTTTTGTAACCGAATGGGAATGCATAAATTTGCGTTAAGGGTATAATATTAACCATTTCACATCAAGTATTAGAAATTTTAACTGCTCTGACTGGTATTTTTTAAAAAATGAAAAAAATATTTGTCGTATGTTTTGAACGAAATTCCACCTGGTGGCAAACAACTTCTCCGTGTTACATGATCATCTTTCGGATTAAGAGTCGTAGTCGGCAGGATTTGAACCTGCGCGGGAATATCCCAACAGATTTCAAGTCTGTCGCCTTAACCACTCGCCCACGACTACATAATTGCTTAGGAGTCGCTTATTTTGCTTTACTACGGATAGCTTGGAACTTACCATTTTATTTTACCACAGATTTTACGTCGTGGGCACATTAATAGGTTCTCTGGAATTGGTATGCCTTCCAAACTGCTTTTCAATTGCCAGCAGAATTTTGGAATTATAATAAGACTGAAAAAAGAAAGGGTCTCGGGGAACTCGCTGTGACGGTTGGCGGAAGCTTTTATCATAGGAATTAATTATTGATAGAAATCAGGCAGTTCACAGGGCGTGTAAATAGATCATGCATCAGTGATTGTGCATCACAGCATTCAGCAGCATATCCGAGACAGCAATTAAACTGCAATCAATGGCTGCTAATTCTGATTTCGAGCCTTAGCAGTTTTGGTCATGGGGTTAAGTTTTTATTTTTATTAGTTGTTCTCTACAGTATGAGATATTACACGCTTTTTTATTTCAAATTAGAACTTATATAAGATGAGCCTACATAAGAAGTTTCATTATTTACCATGCCCAAGTTTAAGGGTTAGGTATACGTTACCTATATGAACAAGCTTTGCTCTTGGTTGATGATAACAATGGAACACATGTCAATAAAACCCAATGAATTATTATAGATATTGATTTATAAAGAACAAGTCATGAAACTTTGTTCAGTATCGTTATATACAAGAAGCCGGTCAAAACACTCGTTCATGTTCGTAGATACTTATTAAGTTTAAGTTGAAAATGTGGAAAGCCTCCTCAGAGATTCGAACTCTGGACCCCTGGTTTACTAGACCAGTGCTCTAACCACTGAGCTAAGGAGGCACCCAAAAAAAAACCTTGCGCGAATAGAAATGTAAACAAATGTTTCAAAAAACGTATTTTGCAGGTAAATTTTTTCACGGCGATTATTAAATGCGTAATGATCACAAATATTTAAGTCTTTTACTCACCCTTACCATACACAGTTAAAAAAAATCAAGCCTTTATCAGAGAGTTGAACTCCGGACCCCTGGTTTACGAGACCAGTGCTCTAACCACTGAGCTAATAAGGCAAACCCGTAATACTTTTGAAAAAGGTAAAATGAATCATCGGCGAAAAATAGTTATTCCTGCCAAGCTAAAACTAAAAGGAAAAATATTAGTGTTAAAGTTTGGTCGATCAATTCTGTAGCTTTCACAAACACCGTTACTGAGATTATCCTGTAGACGATGGCAATGGTAATCATACGGTGATATGATAGTTGAAAATGTTACAGTGTTATTTTTGAGTTACAAATTATTTTGGGTTATGAAAATGTGCCACGCACTATAAAAAGTCGCACGAATTCATTTTCCTGATGTTCAGTACTTGTATATGATGATTGACAAGGTCTTCATTGTTGACATGCCTACAACGTCTACATTTATGCATACTAGATCTCCTCCTTGCATGTATATTGATAGGATTGATGCTGCATGGGAAAAGTTTTATCGGGAGATTGCAACTTGAGTTCAACACTGCTTTTTTTCTTAAAAGCTAAGAAAGAAACTCAATCGCGCAAAAATTTCAAGTTATGAGGGCAATCAGGGCTTGCACGGGAATCGAACCCGTGACCTCTCGCACCCAAAGCGAGAATCATACCACTAGACCAGCAAGCCACACCTGGGGAAATTCATTATCTTTCGGTTAATTTTAAAAAAATCCGGTATATTACATGAAAAACTAAGGTTCAAGAGACTTCCGTTAATTCGTGCGGAAAACATCCCATTTTGCTGTTGAAAACAAGCCTATAAAAAAGCAATAATTTCTGAATAGAGGTCCCTTTGACAAGAGGTAATTACGTTTTAGTCCAATCACCATGTTTATTTACATTATTTTTTTGTAACCGAATGGGAATGCATAAATTTGCGTTAAAAGGGTATAATATTAACCATTTCACATCAAGTATTAGAAATTTTAACTGCTCTGACTGGTTTTTTAAAAAATGAAAAAAAATATTATGTCGTATGTTTTGAACGAAATTCCACCTGGTGGCAAACAACTTCTCCGTGTTACATGATCATCTTTCGGACTATTAAGAGTCGTAGTCGGCAGGATTTGAACCTGCGCGGGAATATCCCAACAGATTTCAAGTCTGTCGCCTTAACCACTCGGCCACGACTACATAATTGCTTAGGAGTCGCTTATTTTGCTTTACCACGGATAGCTTGGAACTTACCTGTTTATTTTACCACAGATTTTACGTCGTGGGCACATTAATAGGTTCTCTGGAATTGGTATGCCTTCCAAACTGCTTTTCAATTGCCAGCAGAATTTTGGAATTATAATAAGACTGAGAAAAATGAAAGGGTCTCGGGGAACTCGCTGTGACGGTTTGCGGAAGCTTTTATCATAGGAATTAATTATTGATAGAAATCAGACAGTTCACAGGGCGTGTAAATAGATCATGCATCAGTGATTGTGCATCACAGCATTCAGCAGCATATCCGAGACAGCAATTAAACTGCAATCAATGGCTGCTAATTCTGATTTCGAGCCTTAGCAGTTTTGGTCATGGGGTTAAGTTTTTATTTTTATTAGTTGTTCTCTAAAGTATAAGATATTACACGCTTTTTTATTTCAAATTAGAACTTATATAAGATGAGCCTACATAAGAAGTTTCATTATTTACCATGCCCAAGTTTAAGGGTTAGGTACACGTTACCTTTATGAACAAGCTTTGCTCTTGGTTGATGATAACAATGGAACACATGTCAATAAAACCCAATGAATTATTATAGATATTGATTTATAAAGAACAAGTCATGAAACTTTGTTCAGTATCGTTATATACAAGAAGCCGGTCAAAACACTCGTTCATGTTCGTAGATACTTATTAAGTTTAAGTGGAAAATGTGGAAAGCCTTTTCAGAGATTCGAACTCTGGACCCCTGGTTTACTAGACCAGTGCTCTAACCACTGAGCTAAGGAGGCACCGAGAAAAAAAACCTTGCGCGAATAGAAATGTAAACAAATGTTTCAAAAAACGTATTTTGCAGGTAAATTTTTTCACGGCGATTATTAAATGCGTAATGATCACAAATATTTAAGTCTTTTACTCACCCTTACCATACACAGTTAAAAAAAATCAAGCCTTTATCAGAGAGTTGAACTCCGGACCCCTGGTTTTCAAGACCAGTGCTCTAACCACTGAGCTAATAAGGCAAACCCGTAATACTTTTGAAAAAGGTAAAATGAATCATCGGCGAAAAATAGTTATTCCTGCCAAGCTAAAACTAAAAGGAAAAATATTAGTGTTAAAGTTTGGTCGATCAATTCTGTAGCTTTCACAAACACCGTTACTGAGATTATCCTGTAGACGATGGCAATGGTAATCATACGGTGATATGATAGTTGAAAATGTTACAGTGTTATTTTTGAGTTACAAATTATTCTTGGGTTATGAAAAATGTGCCACGCACTATAAAAAAGTCGCACGAATTCATTTTCCTGATGTTCAGTACTTGTATATGATGATTGACAAGGTCTTCATTGTTGACATGCCTACAACGTCTACATTTATGCATACTAGATCTCCTCCTTGCATGTATATTGATAGGATTGATGCTGCATGGGAAAAGTTTTATCGGGAGATTGCAACTTGAGTTCAACACTGCTTTTTTTCTTAAAAGCTAAGAAAGAAACTCAATCGCGCAAAAATTTCAAGTTATGAGGGCAATCAGGGCTTGCACGGGAATCGAACCCGTGACCTCTCGCACCCAAAGCGAGAATCATACCACTAGACCAGCAAGCCACACCTGGGGAATTAGTTCATTATCTTTCGGTGTAATTTTAAAAAAATCCGGTATATTACATGAAAAACTAAGGTTCAAGAGACTTCCGTTAATTCGTGCGGAAAACATCCCATTTTGCTGTTGAAAACAAGCCTATAAAAAAGCAATAATTTCTGAATAGAGGTCCCTTTGACAAGAGGTAATTACGTTTTAGTCCAATCACCATGTTTATTTACATTATTTTTTTGTAACCGAATGGGAATGCATAAATTTGCGTTAAAAGGGTATAATATTAACCATTTCACATCAAGTATTAGAAATTTTAACTGCTCTGACTGGTATTTTTTAAAAAATGAAAAAAATATTTGTCGTATGTTTTAAACGAAATTCCACCTGTGGCAAACAACTTCTCCGTGTTACATGATCATCTTTCGGACTATTAAGAGTCGTAGTCGGCAGGATTTGAACCTGCGCGGGAATATCCCAACAGATTTCAAGTCTGTCGCCTTAACCACTCGGCCACGACTACATAATTGCTTAGGAGTCGCTTATTTTGCTTTACCACGGATAGCTTGGAACTTACCTGTTTTTTTACCACAGATTTTACGTCGTGGGCACATTAATAGGTTCTCTGGAATTGGTATGCCTTCCAAACTGCTTTTCAATTGCCAGCAGAATTTTGGAATTATAATAAGACTGAGAAAAAAGAAAGGGTCTCGGGGAACTCGCTGTGACGGTTGGCGGAAGCTTTTATCATAGGAATTAATTATTGCATGATAGAAATCAGGCAGTTCACAGGGCGTGTAAATAGATCATGCATCAGTGATTTGCATCACAGCATTCAGCAGCATATCCGAGACAGCAATTAAACTGCAATCAATGGCTGCTAATTCTGATTTCGAGCCTTAGCAGTTTTGGTCATGGGGTTAAGTTTTTATTTTTATTAGTTGTTCTCTAAAGTATAAGATATTACACGCTTTTTTATTTCAAATTAGAACTTATATAAGATGAGCCTACATAAGAAGTTTCATTATTTACCATGCCCAAGTTTAAGGGTTAGGTACACGTTACCTATATGAACAAGCTTTGCTCTTGGTTGATGATAACAATGGAACACATGTCAATAAAACCCAATGAATTATTATAGATATTGATTTATAAAGAACAAGTCATGAAACTTTGTTCAGTATCGTTATATACAAGAAGCCGGTCAAAACACTCGTTCATGTTCGTAGATACTTATTAAGTTTAAGTTGAAAATGTGGAAAGCCTCCTCAGAGATTCGAACTCTGGACCCCTGGTTTACTAGACCAGTGCTCTAACCACTGAGCTAAGGAGGCACCCAGAAAAAAAACCTTGCGCGAATAGAAATGTAAACAAATGTTTCAAAAAACGTATTTTGCAGGTAAATTTTTTCACGGCGATTATTAAATGCGTAATGATCACAAATATTTAAGTCTTTTACTCACCCTTACCATACACAGTTAAAAAAAATCAAGCTTTAACAGAGAGTTGAACTCCGGGCCCTGGTTTTCAAGACCAGTGCTCTAACCACTGAGCTAATAAGGCAAACCCGTAATACTTTTGAAAAAGGTAAAATGAATCATCGGCGAAAAATAGTTATTCCTGCCAAGCTAAAACTAAAAGGAAAAATATTAGTGTTAAAGTTTGGTCGATCAATTCTGTAGCTTTCACAAACACCGTTACTTAGATTATCCAGTAGACGATGGCAATGGTAATCATACGGTGATATGATAGTTAAAAATGTTACAGTGTTATTTTTGAGTTACAAATTATTCTTGGGTTATGAAAAATGTGCCACGCACTATAAAAAAGTCGCACGAATTCATTTTCCTGATGTTCAGTACTTGTATATGATGATTGACAAGGTCTTCATTGTTGACGTGCCTACAACGTCTACATTTATGCATACTAGATCTCCTCCTTGCATGTATATTGATAGGATTGATGCTGCATGGGAAAAGTTTTATCGGGAGATTGCAACTTGAGTTCAACACTGCTTTTTTTCTTAAAAGCTAAGAAAGAAACTTAATCGCGCAAAAATCGTTATATACAAGAAGCCGGTCAAAACACTCGTTCATGTTCGTAGATATTTATTAAGTTTAAGTGGAAAATGTGGAAAGCCTCCTCAGAGATTTGAACTCTGGACCCCTGGTTCACTAGACCAGTGCTCTAACCACTGAGCTAAGGAGGCACCCAGAAAAAAAGCATGCGCAAATAGAAATGTAAACAAATGTTTCAAAAAACGTATTTTGCAGGTAAATTTTTTCACGGCGAT